TGTCGAGGCGGCGGAAGCAGTGGGCGGTCGGGTGCGAGCGGCGGCACACAGTGCCACGGAAGGGCACCGTCCGGAGCTGGTACTAACAGCTCACAGCACCGAAGCCGCCGGTAGACGCCGTGCTGCGAGGACCGCCACCGCGGCCACCACCTCCAGGGGCTACTGGCCTCCCCGGCGGGAGGCAGGCCCACGGATGTTGCTGCTGCTGCTGCGGCTGCTTCTACGACTGCGACGGCTGCTGCGACTGCTGCGGCTGCGTCTGCTGCAGCTACTGCTGCTCCTGGACACCAGCCCCAACCCCCTCGTCAAAACCCCTTTCACCACCACCACCACCACAAGCACCAGCACCACGCCCTCCCTTGGGGACGCGACGGCCCCGACGCTGTCGCTGCTACGGGAAGGCCGCAGCTGCGGTCTTAAAGGCAGGAGCAGCCATAGCGACAGCGGCGGAAACGTCAGCGTACGTGCACTGGGAGGGAGCACAGCCCTGAAAGATATGGACTGCCGCAACACCGCTCGTCTGAGCGATACTGCGCTGGCGAGTCTCTATCTCAGACAAAGTAGTGACAAAGACGGTCAGGGTGAGGTCACCAGGGCGCTGGCTTAGGAAGGGGTCACGCACAGTAGCTAAGCGGTTAGGCAGATGCCTTGCAATAAGGTACAGGGTAACGTAGAATGGTGGGGGGAAGGCAGTGAGCTGGGCGGCAGTGCTAGCAGCGCGGCAGCTAGTCTCAAGTGCACAGAGGTGAGTGGCGAGGTCAGCGACAGTGGGGAAAGCAGAGAGATCGGGGTAGAGCATGGGAAGGATCAAGCGGCCAAGAGAGGTGGAGGCGGGTGTGGAGTGGCGCGCAACTACTACATCAAGAAAATCCTTGGCGTTCGCAATGGCAGTGAAGCGTGGACGCTCAGACACGGGAAGCGCATGACTAATGGCTAGCTGCGCTATAGCATCGCGAGAGTCCCAGAGAGCGCGAGCAAGTGCAGTAGCAGAAAAGGCCTCACTCTCAGCAGTGGTGGGGTCAGCGGGGAAGCAAGCCATCAACATGCATAGCTAGGGAGTGCCCATCCTGACCCGTCAGGTGTCGGCGAAGATCAACCAGCCAGGCGGCGAAGTCGATTGCGTGCCCCTCCGCGTCTAGGCGAAGTACGGCGTCCGCCATCGTGCAACCTCAGCGGTACAGGGACTCAGCGACACAGCGGCACAGCGGCGTGGCAGCAGGACTCTCCGGTGAGAAGACCGGACAGGAGGCCGAGGAGGGCCCGAGGCACGCAGGGCCCGAGGCGCGTAGAGCCGGCAGGGCGCAAAGGGCCGGCGGAGCGCTGGGGCCAGGTGGCGCGCATGGGCCAGTGGGCGCTCAAGGAGCCGGCGGGGTGGCTAAGTCCGGCGGAGCTCAAAGGGCCGGGGAGGCGCTAAGGGGCCGACGAGGCGCTAGAGGGGTTGGTGAGGTACGCGAGGAGCCGGCGGGCGCGCGAGGGGCCAGCGAGCACGAAGGGCTGGCGAGGAGCGCGAGGGGCCGGCTAGGCGCGAGGGGCCGGCTAGGCGCGAGGGGGCGGCTAGGTGCGAGGGGCCGGCGGGGTGCTGAAGGGGGGGGCGGGCACGCTAGGGGCCGGCGAGGTGCTCGAGGGGCCGATGGGTACGCTAGGGGCCAGCTAGGCATGAAGGGCCGGCGGGGTACGCGAGGGGCCAGCTAGGCGCAAGGGGCCGGCTAGGCGCGAGGGGCCGGCTAGGCGCGAGAAGGGCCGGCGGGGTACGCTAGGGGCCGGCTAGGTGCGAGGGGCCGGCTAGGCGCAAAGGGCCGGCGGGGTACGCGAGGGGCCGGCGCGGCGCTGAAGGGGGCGGCGGGCACGCAAGGGGCCGACGAGGTGCGCGAGGGGCCGGCGGTACGCTAGGGGCCGGCGGGGTGGTAGGCTAGGGCTAGGGGCGGAAGCGGGTGGGCGGACCTAACCTACTCATGATACCATGTTAGAATACGATAATAATTAGAAACAAGTGAGAACAAGGGAGATATAGGGTTTGAGTTGTACCCCCTAAGAACACACACCTATCTAGCCTATAACTTCTACATACCAATATATGTATAAGTTGGCAATATGTAGGTATACGGAGCGCGTTGTTTCCGAGGAAGCGAAAATGGTATCCCGATTGGCATGAATCAAATATATAAAAAGTCGCTACGGTGAAATACGTTTGAAGACTGTATCTAAATATACACAGAGAAAGTGCGGTATTCACCAAAGTTTGCCAATTGACCTTGCTTGCAAACCAAGCAACATGTACCGTACCGTAATCCCCCGTATATAAGACCCGCCGAAATAGTCAGCCCATGGGTAGCTTATGCGGGGGATAGCTTATGATGTGGCGCATTTTTTAGAGTACCCGCTTTTCTGGGTTTGCATTTTACATAACACCCTGCACGTTTTTCTTGCCTTTAAATAGTATTCGGTCCTTCATTACCAAGGTTCGCTCAGCTGCAAAAAAACGAACACGATGAAAATCGCGTCAGCTGCCATTCGCAGCGCAAAGACGGGCAGAAGAATCAATACAAGTGGCAACATGAAATCGAAAGACAAAAAGTGTCGAGAGGGTCTCGACCGTCCATCTTGCTGTTGAACCACCCCGATCGCGTCAGCAATGGTCGTGACTCTGTTCACAGCACTCATACGAGATTGGTCAATGACACCTGGCACTGCTGCAGCATCAATCTCCCACCGTTTTCAGAGGCACCAAACTGACCCTGTCAGAGTACGTAATCTCTGTAGCAGATTCCTCGTTAGCAGATGCTCGGTAAAGTTCTGGCCTCAGAGTGCGTGTTACAACCCAAATTCATTTTGCATTTTACAGCGACGGAAAGTATTGCCTGGATAATTGCCTTAAAACATTTCTCGTACTGGTTTGGTGCCTTCTTTGTTTAGTTACGAATCAAATTTTGGGGTTGGATGTAAAGTAGTACTGTACTGTATGTGACGGATGCTGGTTTCAGTTTTATAGGAGTCGATTCTTTACCGAGGACGAGATTTCGTCCGCGTGGGTGCATCCGGACAGTTTAGGCCAAGCAGCGTAGTAGATCTATTTCCTAACCTCGCTATTTCTTCTTACTTGCCCTCGCGACTATCGAGTAGTCAGAAGATAGGCTAGGACCGCTGCGATGATTAGGCCGTCATGAAACCGTTAGATGAGGCGTTCTACGCATAGATCATTCCCTTGTTGCGGAGGGGGTAGAGCAATCGTTGAATCGCTAAACTGCTAGCCATAGGGAAGAGTTCGGCCCATCAAGGCGATTGTAGAGTCTAGCCGCGATGACATGCGTCCTACGATGCCCTCAGCCGGTCGCCCTCGTTTAGTGACAGAGAGAGTTCGCCGCGGCATAGTTCGGTCGATTACCCTCGAGGAGGCAGAAATCTCTGCTCACGTGGCGAAAATCGTTGAGAAGCAGCACGGCATCACGTTGCATCCTAAGACATTGCGTAACGCTTTGAATGGGAGCCGACTTGTCGCAATCAAGCATCCCAAGAAACCGCGACACTCTCGGAAAAACATACGCGATAGGCTAGAATGGGCGCGTGCCCACGCAGACTGGACGGTTGACGACTAGAAGCGAGTTATCTGTGCGGATGAGACCAAGATCGGTCGTCTTGCATCCGACTGACTCTCATACGCCTGCGTTCACGAAGGGACTGCCCTCCAAAGACACCACATCAAGCAGACCGTCAAACACGGGGGCGGTTGCTTGATCATTTACGACTGCATGTCGTAAAAGGGAGCGGGCTTCATGAGCAAAACATATGGTAGGGTGGACGGACTGCTCTTGCTGAGTATACTGCAGGACGATCTCAACAGTACGATTGAGCTTTACCAGTTTACACCCTCAAAAACTATCTTCCAGCACGACAACGACCCCAAGCACAAGTCGTATATCGTACAGGAGTGGCTTTGAGAGTAAGATTCAGGGGTGCTAGAGTGGCCGTCTTCCTCACCCGACCTCAACCCAATGGAGCATTTATGGGCTCATCTCAAGAGGCAGCTGGCCAAGCCTTATAAGCCTCCCACTGGTATGCTGGACCTTTGGGAGCGGGTGCAGGAGAAATGGGAGAAGATCCCGGCGGATGTGTGCACCCACCTGGTGGAAAGCATGCCCAGGAGGGTGAGGGCGGTGTCTAAGGCAAAAGGGTGGTGGATTAGGTACTAGTTTGGGGTTGATGTAACTTGCTGCTTGCGCCTGGCAATAATTGTCCACATGTACCAAGATTGTTATTTTCTAGTATTTGTTGTAAACATCATTATACTTGTATGATGTAAGGCATGGGCGTGGAGCCTTACCCCAACCTACATACACTAGGCACACCAGAAGATTAAGTCTTAATGTCCATGACCCCCTAAAATGGCAAAATTCCTCTAAGTCACAAACATGTGGACAATACTTTCCGTCGCTGTACATAAGACATGGGTGTTATATTTTTCCAGCCTACTATTAACACCCATACGTTTTTTTTTTTGTGAAATTTTGACAATACCCTAGGGTGTTATATACGGGGGAATACAGTATGTCCCTCCCGAGCTGTTGCGTGCCCAACACATTCATCTCATGCTGATTGATGCTGCATATGTTAGAAACCCAGTCACTAACCACTGGGTTAAAAGGGCTTGTTAATAGCGGGTTAGTGCGCCCATAGCCCCCCAGGCTCTGCACCTGTGGCCCTTCCCCGAGGATCTCAAGGGCAACCCCAGCGGGTCACTCAACACCCCCCCCCCCGCTGGGATAGGTGGAAGACACGAGCGCCTCTGCAGCGCTGGCACTGGGAGTTGAACCCAAGTCCTTTGGCTCTGATACCATGTCAGAAACCCAGTCACTAACCACTGGGTTAAAAGGGCTTGTTAATAGCGGGTTAGTGCGCCCATAGCCCCCCAGGCTCTGCACCTGTGGCCCTTCCCCGAGGATCTCAAGGGCAACCCCAGCGGGTCACTCAACAGCATACCCTTCTCTTAAATTCTCATGTGAAGGACACAACAATCGTCTTTATTCCACTGAATATGCAAGCTTCTGACTGGAGTACTCCTTGTCATCTTCATTGTACCACTACGAATTTTCCACTGCCACAATTATGTGGGTACCAAGAATCGCTTACACCACATATCCAACGTCATCAACATCGGGGATTGCCACATCCAGCCTAAAATATCCCTTCCATTTCGCTGGTACCCCTGCGCCTGCCTGCACGCAGAGCTCCACCACTGCTGGCACTTGGCCGTAGAACTCCCTCAGCTCGTGGACTAAAGGCGGGCCTGAGGGGTGTGTGGAATGGTAAACAGGCACGGGGGGGAGCAGGTCCGAGAGGACAGCTGGCTGCCAGCCGTGCTGCCCGTGGCGCCACTGCTGCTTGGAGGCGTTGCACAGACGCACCTGGGAGCAGGGAGGGCAGGGAGCAGCGGGATGTGTGGTGAGGTGAGGTGAGCCAGAGCTCAGCTCGAGGAACAGAGGGGGGCCCTAGGGGTGTGAGACGATGAATGAGGCGCCTTAAAGGTGTGGTGAGCTCAGAGCGGAGCACATGCACACGTGAATATGCGGGGAGCAGAGGGACCCTGAGCACGCATGCAAAGGAGAGGGACGCGCTGCTGCTGCTTGCAGGTGCAGGGGAGGGAGGAGAGGGGCACTTAAAGAGCGGGGTGTGTGGAGAGGTAGAGGGACAGGGAGGAGGGAAAAGGGGAGTTGAGAATGTATGGAGAGGAGAGGGGAGCACTGGTGGTGGCAGGGGGAGGGAGGAGAGCGGCATGGAACAAGTATAGAGGTTTGAGAGCACTGCTGGGAGTCACATAGACTTGAGACTCACCTTGTGACCTGCTGCCCCCATGTGCACCTCAGGGGAACACCCGCACACCAACCAAGACAAGGCGCGTCGTCCTCAACCGCCCCACTGCCCATGACCTCCCCCCCTTCTTACCCCTCACTTCTCTCACCTTGTGACCTGCTGCCCCCACGTGCACCTCGGGGCAGTACCCGCACACCATCACAGGGTACTTCGCCATGAGCCTCTCCACTCCCTCCCTCAGCTGCTGCCACTCCCACAACACCTCCTCTGCTAACTCCCTCACACTCCCCTCCCCCTCCTCCGCTCCTTCCCTGTCCTCTTCCCCCACTTCCTGCTCTACCTTCCCTCTCCCCTCCTTATCCTCCTCTTGTTCTCTTCTCCTCTCCAGCCCTCTCTCACTCCTGCCCCCTTCACTCTCCTCCTGCCTCCTTCTCCCACTCTCCCCCATGTCTCCCCTCCACCCCTCCTCCCCTCGCCTCATCTTACCCTTGGACCCCTCGTCCCACACCACCTCAGCTCCCACGGCTTCCATCTCAGCCATTTCCAGAATCGCCCTCACCACATCCCCCTCATCCCCCTTATAAGCTCCCCTCCTAAACACTCCCGATGCCGACTCGCTCTCCATGCCTGCCACCCAGGCCTGGCCGTTGCCAAGCCTGGTGGTTTGCACAGGTTCGGTTCGGCGCACTGTGCGCAGGCCTGGGAGGTCCACACCCGCCTGAAGGGAGAAGGGAGAAGGGAGAAGGGAGATGGGGAGATGGGGAGAAGGGGGGAAGGGGATACGGAAATGAGAAATGGAGCAGAGGGGATGGGCATTGGGGTTGGGGGCATGCTGCATTGGGTCCGCCTTTTGGAACGCATCAAGAGACACACCCTGCGCAGGCCCGGGGTTGGGGGGGGTGGGTGGGTTGGGGTGGGGGAAGGTGTAAGAGCGGCACGAGAAAAAATCGAAGATTGTGGGGCTGCCGGCCATAAGAGAGAGTGCAAGGGGAAGGGTGAAGACAAATGCGCAGGGAGGTCAACAATGTCTGTGCTGCCCTCAGGAACAACGCTCAACTAGTGAAAATACAAAGTTCCCCTTCCCTGTACGCTCCTCGTTTTGATAATCTAAAACGTCATCTCACCTTGGAAATCACCTACACCTGAAGAATCACCTGAACATGAAGAAACACCTGAATTTGAAAGATGACCTTTACATGAAAAATCACCTGAACACACAGCTCCACAACAGCTGGGATCCTTTCCACATCAAATCTCGCCTCGTGAGGCACACGGGGCCGCAGGCGGTCGGGCAAGTGAAAACTTTCAATGACCGGGAGGATGTCTGGAGGCGTGGCAGGAGCCCACTCATGGCTGCCCGTGCCGCCCGTGCTGCCTGGACGGTTATACACTTTTGGACCCTTGCAATTGCGCATGGCGTGGGGGTGACGGGCGACGGAGACCTCGGGACACAGTCTGACGGGAATGAGGGGGAGAAGGGAGAGGAGGCATGGGGACCCCGGGGGGGGGGGGGGGAGGGGGAGGGGGAGGGGGAGGGGGAGGGGGAGGGAGAGGGGTGGTCGGAGTGCTTCTTTGAATTGAAACCCTTGCAATTGCATATGGCATGGGGCTGATGGGCGATGGAGACCTCGGGACACAGCCCGGTGGAAATCAGGGAGGGATGGGTGAAGAGGGGTGAGATGGCGGTGCTTGCTTCTAACAGTTGCGCGCGATGGGCAATCGAGACCTTGGGACAGTCTGAAGGGAATGAGCTACAGGGCAGCCCGACCAGACCAGAGCACAAACTCAGTGTGGCAAAACATAGGCACAGAGCCCTGCAGCACCTGCATGCACGCTCAGGAACGGCCTCCAGCAGCCTTGGGATCTTCGCCTGCAGCGACAGCCAGAGCGCAAGAGTGGCGTGCAGTACTACTCTCTACACCTAATTCACAGTACAGCAAGGGCTACAGCACCTGCAGCTTGAGCAGGGACTGCCTCTAGCAGCCTCGGGATTTTCTCCTGTAGTGACAGCTTGCCACTCTCTAAACCATAATCACTACATGGCCAAATAGAACACAGCAAAGGCTACAGTAACAGTACCTGCAAGCATGAGCAGGAACCGCTTGTAGCAGCCTCGGGATCTTCTCCTGTAGCGACAGCCAGAGGGCGAGAGTGGAGTGCGCCACGGGGACGAGGCGGGGGACCAGCAGCCCGTTGTCAGGCGCGCGCAGGGGGTCCGGCGGAAGCCCCTTTTCCGCCAGTTTCCGCCTGCGCGCGGCGTCCCCCTTCATCCTCTCCACAGCGCGCCCAAACCTCCGCCTCTTCTCCGCCAGCGTCTCCCCCAGCGCGCCCTCCGCTTCCGCTTCCCCCGCCTCTGCGTTCCCCTCGTCTTCCGTCCATCTTCGGCCCACGCGCACGCGCAAGGCTTCCGCTTTCGACCCGCCTGCTATGCGCACCCACCCTTGCGCCTCCGCCTGCGCGTCTCTCCCGTCTCCCGCGCCCCTTTTCCGCAAATCCTGTGATCCCCCCCGCGGTCTCCCCTTCCCCCTCCCCTCAGGACTTCCCCCAACACCCTCCCGTCCTCCGCCTCCCCTTGATCCCCGCTTTTCCCCGTCCCCCTGCTGCGCGGGCCCCGGCCCGCGGCTTTCGCCAGCTCCTCTTTCCGCTGAACTTGCGGGTCCTTCAACCTTCCTGCTACAGAATGTGCGTGTAACGAGGGGATGAAATGAACTTGTTTCCTTGATTTTGCTCGCACCCAGACTCTGGGCACCGTTAGTAGAAAAGGAAAAACTAGCGGGGCGAAGGGCTTGGAAAATTTTAGGGGTAGCGTTCGGCGTGAGGGACTGGTGAGTTGATATGCGAGAGAAGCGGACGATTAGAGGTACACTCGAGGAAATGGTCAGGAGACGCGACATGCTACATACTCGATACACGGATACTATTGGACACTACAGGCTCGCGAATTACTTTTCTTCTTTCATGGCTTCAGGGCGTGGAGCATACAGTTACGAACATGCTTCGTCTGAACTTCCACCACACTGTACACCGCGTTTATCAAACTTCACTCCGTGAAAACCTTTTTGTAGAGCACTTTACCACTCTGGTCGTCCGAACCTTCAGTTCGGAACTGTATGTTCCACGCCCTCAGGGCGTGTCCAGCGCGTTCATTTTTTCCCAACACGAATTTTTGACGTTTTTTTAACACGCCAAAATATTGATTCGCCAAGTGTGAATGTGTTGAGGTCATCTACAGCATCAACAGCAAAACGTGCGGACACGAGCCCCGCCCGTGGCTCGACAAATGAGTGGGTGCGCAGCGCGCACATAACAGACAGACGCGAAACAGCAGGGTAACCGAATTTCGCCCCGGGAAAGAGGCCCCGCCCGCTTTCGCGAACACGCATTACGAGCCGCGACTCCACCCAGGGGGAAAAAAATGGAGGGCTCAATTTCGCCATGCTTCGCAAGCATCACGAAATCCTGGCGAAATTAAGCGTTCTATTTTTCGCCAGCCAGGTTTTGGACGTTTCTGCCGTGTACATAATTTGCGCACGTTTTTCATTCGGTTCGGAAACGTGTGGCCCACGTCTGTGGGCACGTTTGGAGGGTGTCCGCCAAAGCCGTCAATTTATCGTGCGTGTCCGAATTGACACGAAATTTCGGGTTACCAGGTCGAAATTTTGTACCTGATATGCAAAGTGAATTGTAAACGAACGTGCTAGACACGCCCTCAGTTCTTCCCCTTGGCTTACGTACTCGTAAAAAGAAATCGCGATATGACTGGGTTGCATAGCAACCCTATAAAATCGGAACATTGATATGAACAGTAAAACAAGAATTTAGTTAACTGTTCGGTGCAACTCCAAAATATGAATCCAAATGTCCTAAGTGATCCATCGCGTCGATAAGTACGGCGGATGGAATAATCAGACTGCATGACACATTTCAACAAATTTTTATGTATAATTAAACATCCTGTAGGATTGCAAATGCTAAGAAACGAGTGCATGTAGGCATTAGTAGTGTTGCAGTAGAGATTGGTGGGGTGCACGATGACAGCAAAGCTGCCCCGGACACAATGACAATCTCTTATTGCAACACCTAGCCTATAAGCAGCACGCTCGAGGCAAACACAATCCAAATACACCTCTTGCCAGCCACCCCATCTCGTCAATAAATACGGTGGATGGAATGGACATGTATCTATGATAGGATTGTGAGTGCTACAAAACTGTCAAACATGTGTATTTGTTATGTTTGCATAGACTGTATAGGGTCGCCTCTTAGAGGGTACAATACTTAGGTATATCTATCTATACTCTCCCTCTATCCAATCATTCAGTTCTCTCACTTTGATATGGTATCACGCGTAGGTTAGGATCCCCCCCTTCCCCGCCTACCGCTTCCGCTCGTCCCCTAGCTAGGCCCCGCCGTGCCTCCCCCCCTAGCCCCGTCGCGACCCACTGGGCCCCGTCGTGCCCCTAGCCCTGCCGCGCCCCTCCTGGGCCCCGTTGCGACCCCCTAGGCCAGTCGCGACCCCCTGGGCCCCGTCGCGACCCCCTAGCCACGTCGCGACCTCCTAGCCCCGCTGTGACCCTCCCGGGCCTTACTGCGCCCCTCGCCCCGTAGTACCCCTCCTGGGCCACGTAGCGCCCCCCCCCCCCTGGGCCCCATCGCGCCCCTCCTAGGCGCCGTAGTACCCCTCCGGCACGGACAAGCTCACTGCCCGCACCCTTCCCTGCGTCTTCCTCGGTTTTCCCCTTGACGCGTCCGACTGGCACTTTTACCACCCGCCGTCTCACCGCTTCTTTCACTCTCGCGACGTCACCTTTGACGAGTCCGCCTCCTACTACCGTCGCTTCCCCCACCGCGGTCCACTGGTTACCCCCCCCCTGTTCCTGGTCACTCCTTCCCCGGTAGTCCCTGCCCCTCCTCCTCCTCCTCCCCGTCCTGCCCCCTCTGGTGTGTCCCATGTCACCCCCCTTCCGTCGGTGGACCCGGTTGAGGAGTCTTCTGACTCTGGTGGCCCTGCTGCGCAGTCCTCGCCGGCCGCCCCTCCCCCGGCGTCCCCTTCCCAGTCCCCTCCTCCACCGCCCGCTGCAGCCGTCGTTGTCGCTGCCGCCGCCGCCGCCGCCGCCGTCGCAGCACCCGTTCGCTGACTCTGGGGGTGCTCGTCCCGGTCGCCCTGGGGGTGGTCCCTCTGGGGGTGCAGGTGTGGAGTGTGCCGATGGTAGCCGAGGAGCAGCTTGCAGTCCAGGTGTCACCGTTGTGCCGCCGCAGCAGCAGTCCCCGCCGGTGTCAGCCCTTCGCCTGCTCGGCCTGCCGTCCCCCGACCCTGCGTCTGTTCCTTTCCGACCGTCTCCTCCTCTTCCCGTCTACGGCCCTGTGTTCCCTCCGCCGAACTCGTCCCTGGCCCGCCTTCCCCCTCGTTCACCACCTGTGTCCCCTCCCCTGTCTCCTAACCCGACTCCTCCGTCGCACGTCTGGTCTCACCGTCCCTCCCGTGCTCGTCCTGCCTCGCATGTCTTGCGCTCCCACCCTATGTTGCTTCGTTCCCACGCGTCTCGTCCTCCCCTTCTGCCGTCGCCTCCTCCGTCCTCCCTTGTTGCTGCACCCCCCCCGCTGTCTGACTACCTTCGTGCCGCTCGTCCTCTTGTTCATCGGGTCCTTGCCTCTCTCGTTACCGACCCGTCTGTTCCGGTCTCGTGCCTTGACGCTCTTGTCGCTGCGGTCGCTGACTTCGCCTCTACCCGCCGCCTTGACTACGCCACTGCTCTGGTCTCTGACCCTGCCTGTCCTCCGTCTGTCGGGGGTGCTTCTGCCCTTGGCAGTGACGTCCTGGAGGACCGCCAGCTCCAGCTTGCTTTCCTGTCCGAGGCTGCTCCCCATCTTTGTTCCATGCTGCTAGTCCTTGAGGGTGACCCACACGCTTTTGACATTCCGACCCCTCGCACTTACGCTGAGGCGACTTCGGGACCCTGGGCCTCGTAGTGGATAACTGCCATGGAGCAGGAGATGGCATCTTGGAGATCCACCGGCACCTTCGTCGACGCAGTTCCCCCGCCTGGGGTGAACGTAGTCGATGGCCGCTGGCTCTTCAAGGTGAAGCGCCCTCCTGGAGAGCCGCCTATGTTCAAGGCGCGCTATGTGGCTAGAGGCTTCAGTCAGCGTGAGGGGGTGGACTTCTTCCAGACTTTCGCTCCGACCCCGAAGATGACTACTCTTTGGGTTCTGTTACACCTAGCTGCTCAGCGTGACTACGAGCTTCACTCCCTCGACTTCTCCACTGCCTTCCTTTAGGGCAGCCTACACGAGCAGGTCTACCTGCGTCGCCCTCAGGGCTTTACTAGCACCTTCCCTCCTGGGACCCAGTGGCTCCTGCGGCGCCCCGTCTACGGCCTGCGTCAGGCTCCCCGTGAGTGGCACGACACTCTCCGTGCTACGCTAGCTGACCTGCAGTTCTTTCCGTCTTCCGCAGACCCCTCACTCTTCGTTCGTGCTGGCCAGACTCCGTTCTACATCCTTGTTTACATCGACGACCTGGTCTTTGCCACAGCAGACAGGGACGCACTGGCCTCCGTGAAGGCAGAGCTGCTGAAGAGACACACGTGCACTGACCTTGGAGAACTGCGCCGCTACCTTGGCTTGCAGATCTCCAGGGACAGAGCATCGCGCACCATCACCCTGACTCAGTCACACTTGGTGCGCCAGGTCCTTCAGAGGTTCAGCCTTCAGTTCTCCTCTGCACAGCCCACCCCTCTGCCTGTAGACCACAGACTCTCCGCTCCAGTGTCTGAGGAGTTGGTAGAGCCTAGCGGCCCCTACGCAGAGCTGGTGGGTTGCCTCATGTACCTGATGACTTGCACTCGCCCAGATCTTGATGGAAATCGTGCAAATCTGGAGAGAACTAATTAGAGATTAAGTTTGACGATCTCAACAGAACATTGCGTGCAGCTCAAGTAACTTCTAGAAATGAGCTTATACGCGTTGGAAAGGTCTTAATCTCTACTTTCCAGAATGGTAAAGCACGTTCATAACCAAGATCTGAGCCGCCGATTATGACGAAATCAGTGTGAGGGGATATTCTGGTAATTTGGCTAGGCAGCCATGAATCACCTAGTAAAAACGAGAAGGGAAGCAGTTCGATCTGGAAAAGTTCGAGTATTTGATTGTCAAACAACACCAACCCTCGCCCTGAACCAAACCCTAACACTCCCAAGTGCCACAGCTGCAACATCAAAGATGTTGTAGTGGGTATGGGGTAGTATGGGTTGGAAAGGTAACGAGATCAAACCTAGCCAACCAACCCAATTCTTTTGCCCAAATCCCAATAGCCCACAGCCAGCTAGAGCAAATCACACCACAGAACACTACACATTTATCACTCCCCCTTGCTCGTGCTGGGTGTGGCTCAACACCATAGGGCAAATGCCTTCACACCACCCCCCCTTGCCCATGGGTTGGGGCCACCCAGAGCATGGAGTCCGCCAAGGAGAGGAGCACCAAGACGCCGGCATCTGCTGCGGGAACTCTGTCATCATGGGGCTGCATCCCGAGCAAGGTCATGCACACACCATGACGCTCAAATGGAAGAGACTTGGTAAGAATATCAGCAGCCTGACGGTTGGTGGGGCACCACTGCAAAATCACCTCACCCGCAGCTACCATCTCCCGAATGAAATGCCACCGGACCTGCATGTGTTTGGTGCGGCCATGCAAGCATGCATTCTGTGCAAGGGCAATGGCAGACTGATTATCCACAAACACAGGCACACCACCAGCATGATCATGGCCAAACTCCCCAAACAAACGCCTCAGCCACACACCCTCCTGAATGCACTGACACAGACTTATATACTCACTCTCAGTGGTAGAGAGTGCTACCACGGGCTGCCTCTTGCTCTGCCAAGAGATAGCTGCCCCATTCAGACAGAACACATACCCACTGTGGCTTCTGCGACTTGCGGAATCTCCAGCATAGT